TTATTTGAAATTTATAAATAAATATTTCTTGAAATTGTATTAAATGTTTTATTACTCTTTTCAAAGTACTGATGAGCTTGAATTAGGCTAGAATTTCTTTTTTCACGAGAAAACAGAAATCTTCCTTTTTTCCTCCTTTTCCATGCCAGATCCTCCTAAAAATTGTCAATGAAAATCCTCCCTATTCCTACTTTTTTGTAACATAGCGTTCACATGCCAGGTGCGAATGCGCACTGCGTTAATTAAGTCCTATGATCACGGAAACGTTTTTTTTTTCGTATAGAAAATTTAAAGAATTTCTTCAGAGTATGCTGCAAAAGAACACTGAAGTGACTTCACGACATGTTTTCAATAAAGCAACGAATTTTTTAATAAACTGTTCTTTCATATTAGCTATTTCACATGATTTTTCTAACTCGAAATTGACACATCGTTAAAACGACGTAAGCAAATATTGTTCTTACTGAACTTATGTATTAATATGGTCACAAATACTAAAAAAATCAACAAGCTGCAAAAATTATTTGAAAAAAAAAAGATTTTCAGAGGGAGGTCTTCTAAACTGTCTGTTGCTTCGTTTATCCGAGCGGGGTCTTCTAATGTGTCGATGGTTTTAGCCAGTTAAATATCCATCGTATCAGATCTAGTAGCATATCTAATTTGACTAGCGTTTTTATTAGTGCTGGGTACTACACTCTGTCGAATACTGTTTTAAAGTCTACAAATATTGCCAGTGCTGGCCGACTTGAGGCTGCAACTGTTAGTCGTAAATCTTCAATAAGCGAGAATATTCTGGTTTGTAGCCTTCTATGTGCTGCAAATCCTGACTGTTCATCGATATGAATTCCTTTTTCATTGCACCATTTCTCAATTCTTTCTGCTATAATTTTTTCCAACCACATCCAAGGTTAGGAAGTAAGGAAATAGAGCAAAGACGTTCTTCTGTAGGATGCAATCCATCAGGCCCGTAGCCAGGAATTTTTTAAGGGGGGAGCCCGAATCCAATTTTTTTTCTAAAGTTGCAAAGAACTTTCTCGTACAATTTTCAATATCGATACTTTCGTTCTTAACATTTTAGATGCAGCTTTTTCGTTTTGTTTCATATTTCTTTCTTTGTTTTTTTGTTTTATTAAATTTCAAACAAAAGTACTTATTTTCCAGAAACTATCTTGAGTTAATAGTCGCAAACAACAAAAGAAAAAACATGCACTAGTTAAAGTCACACGTGATGAACAAGAAAGGAAAATCACCTGTATAATATAACAACAACAGAAGAGGGGAAAATCTATAGAACAAAAGAAAAGAAAAAGCCCATATAAAAGAGATAACGAAAGCATAAATTCATAAGGCGTGATAATCGAAGAAAAAAGTAGCAATATGAATATACAGAGAAACGTAACGAAGAAAGAAAGGAGCTATCACTACCTAATAGGAACAAATAAAATAATAGTGGTTCTTTAACCTGGAGTCCGATTGATCCTATATTTTGTGCGTCCTATAATTCCTATATTTTCTAATATCTCCTATAGCTTCCATATTTTGTAATCAATTTTTCTATATTTTTTTAGAGTTTTCAAAGGTTCTATCAACATATAAGAAAAAATGGAAAATCGATTGAAATATGAAAGAAATATAGAATGACAAAAAAAAGAAGAATATAGGAATTATAGGTGGAATCGGACTTCAGACTTTGACTAAGAATCGTCTTCATTCACAGTGATTTGTTTCACGAGGCTGTCCTTCTGATCGAAGATTCCTGAAAGACTCAGTAATAAGTGTTACAGAAGAAAAGGCTAGGTGGGGACCTGGCCCTCTGGGCTCCCCCTCCCCTTCTTGCCTACGGGTCTGTAATCCATCCTTTGATAAGCAGATTTCTTTTGCTTTTCTGCTTCTATTAAAATATTTACCATTTTCTACACATTTATTGAACAGTATTGTTCTTATACTTATATATTCAATTGGTAGATGTTTCAAAATAAATGCTGACGTATTTATGCTCTCAAGAGATTTTTTTGGGGGAAATCTTTTCTCATTGTTTTAACACTTCATCGAACTTAATATTATGCAAAGGTAGATTTGAAGAATTTTCAATTTTTTCAAGATCATTCATGCATTTTATATGATACGGATTACTTGGATCGGAGCTGGGTTGTTCGAAATGTTTTTCATAATAATCAGCGAGCAACTCTACAATTTCCTAATTGTTTTTAATTATTCCATTTTTTTTGGTCAAGCCCCTCAAAGATGGGGTGTAAGGTCGAAATATATTTTTTACGTATGACTATACATTATTTTCGGTTTTCATCTTTTTTATCTTATCATCTATCTGCTTCTGTAGACCACAGGGGTCAAAAAAAGTCATATCGAGATAGAGCAAAACTAAGTCACAGGGAACACTCCTAACAACCCCCTGAAACATTTCCGATCGAAAAAGAACGAAAATATTTTTGGCAAAAAATGGTCTTATTGGAACATGTCCTTTCTCTGAAATCAGAGAAAATCCAAGTTTGAAGATTATTTTTAGGTAATTTTCTGCGATTTTGGAGAGATCCCTGCTGAAAATAGCAAAATAAAGAAAAATATGTTGAGGACCACCCGTCATAGTAAACTATTGATCAAGCACAGTAACTGAACATGTATTTGTGTTAGAGCTGGACGCAGGCAGAACAAATATATAATTTCTGTCCTGTACCCATCATTTTTTGTATATTTTATTGCTGTTTGTGACGTTTTCGTTATCAGTTACTTTTTCTTTGTTCGATTTATTTTTATTAATAGTATTTACCACATGTTAAGATAATGGTGATAAACTCCCACAAGTTCATATTTTGTTCTTGAGAACGGGTAACTCATAACAATGAGAGAACTTTGCATTGCATATTTTAATCACACAATACATGTTATTAAAAAAAAGAGAATATACCACAAGATGAAACGTAAAAATTTCTACAATATACAAAGTAAAACTTATTTTAATTGTATACTTTTTGTTTTCAAAATAAGCAAAAGTCTGTGCGAGCAATTTTCGCCGTTTGCGAAAAAAACATTTTTTTTTTTATCCGAACGAGAATTCTTTTTTTCTTCATATTTCATCTTTTTTACCATCTAATATGTTTTCGTTAAAAAAGTACCAAAAGGTGCGCCATGAAAAGCTCTAGAATTTACAGAGTAAAGCTTTTTGTAATTGTTTTGAATAAAAGAAAAGGTACACATTTAAAATAAGCTTCACTTTGTAAACTCTAGAGTTTGTCACGCTGCATCTTCTAGTATAATCTTTTTTTTTTTAATAACATGTAATTAGGGATTAAAATATGGAGTGCTAAGTTCTGCCATCTATTATGGGTCACCCATTATTTGTTTCCTGTGATGAATGCGTCATTAAAATATCAAATTAAGATGTTTTTATATGTTCTTGTACATATTTATAATAATAGTTATTATTGAAAAAATTTTTCTTGCTGTATTTGAAAATGAAACGAAACAAATTAGTAATAAAATAACTAATAAACTAATATGTAACTTGGTAATCGAAAGTCAAAATATGGCCTCTTACTGTCCTGTAGGAGAGGAGGAAACTACAATTTATGTTCTGTCCTATCGTCCGTCAGGACGGAAGAAGACAAGAAAACGGTAAAGAAAGGTTGTTCTACATTCAGCTCTGATTTATGCCATGGTTAACACTAACTTTGTCTTGTAAATAAAATAACTTCAATTGAATTGATTTTAGTATAAAGACTTGAATAAAACTAGATGATTAGTATTTTCGTGTTGGATCGATATGAAATATTTTAAAACAATACATTATAGTTATTTTTTTATATTGGTGATAGTATAATTTATTATTGTTGTCGATATAATAAAAAAGAATTTTTCGTTAACCGATTTTAGATCCACAACGTTCAGTGTAGAAAATGTAATAAAATCCTTCATGTGACAGAAGACCTCAGGTCTTTTTGAGTGTCTCATTTTTTTTTCATAATTTTAAATTAACAGAAGTTTTCAAAAAAGCCACAGCGATTTCGGGGATTTGAAAAGAGAATTTTAAAGCCAAGAAATAATGTTGACCTCAGTCTTTGAAGACTTCTGAACTCAAAATCCTAAAAACCAGGCATATTTTGACATAAATATACTAATTAGAATTCCGACTTTGCGACAAATTAATTAATTAATTAAGAGTAGCTTTCTATTACGTCGAACGCATAGTTTCTCAAGGAAGATCTTCTATTTCGGAGATGGATTTAGTTTTCAAGTGAAGGAAAACGAAAAATTGATACTTCGCAATTACTGAAATTTCTAGATACATTGTTTAATGAACACTCATGTCGTTTGAACTGGCAAAAAACTGTCGACCAGCCGCGGCCCACCGCAGCTAACCGACAATTAGTTTTCGTCAATCGTTGGTAAACATGGTTAGACGATGTTTCTTTATCACTAAACCTCGAACCTGTCTTTCACCTTGTATGCACGATATTCATAATTTATTTTGAATATGAATACACAATTTAATTTCACCAAACCATAGCTAAATTTTGATCACCTGTTGGACGAAGCCTAAATAATAAAAATAATTTTATTTTTTTAAATTTCATACTTACATTTGAATCAGTTGTTGGATCAAATCTAGAACTAATTGATTCAACTTAACTATCTGAGTATTGGTTAGGAAGATTAATCACAAGGCATAATGACAGATTTTTAGATGCATATATGAAGAAGATATAATTAAAAATCAAACTACAACTGCATATTAATTGCCTATATTGAATCGAAAAAGGCTAAATCGCTGAGTGGTTTTCTTAAAAGTTACAAGAATACTTCTAAAGCCGTGATCGGATTGAATTTAAATGTAAAAAAAAAAAAAGATTCAATAAAATGTAGACTACCTTATGCATATGCATGGCGCATCTTATAACATATATCTGTAAGCGAAAACAGGGTATATGACGAATAGGCATGTCTGTAACCCAGCTACATAATGCAAAATAGCATTAACCTCTGTTTTACACACATAATGTAATATCTGTTAACTACAAAAGCAGAGCTCATATCGAAAGAAGTATAACTAACAAATCTTTTTTATGGTAACTGATATATACTTTCGGTATTATGAATTCGTTTGTGACTAGTCGTTTTTATAAAATTATAATTCCTGAAAGTAATTGAATAAAACCACGAGTTAACCGCGATTAACTGGCGGTTTTGCTTAAAACCAGAGGTTACCGGTGGTGTTCGTAAAAAAAACACGACATGGGCAAAGTCTTTTATGAATGACGATATCGTTTTTTTTTCGAAGAATATAAATTTATTATTTTGATAAGACAAAACTATCTCAATCGCTAATTTAAATAGAATTTTCTTGTTAGTCTTCGAATTAACATTAAAAAACTAATAATGTTCCGTTTTTCACATACCTAAGCTACTATAGTAATTTTTTTCGTACTCTATTTCGAACAAGCACAATATATGAAACACACTATTTCTTTTTCTTCCTCACTCTGCACACATACAATGACTTTCTCCTCTTCAAACAACTTGACAAGAGAGAAGAAAAAATTTTTACTTTTTTTTTTTATTAATAAAATATTAATGTGCTCAAAAAACAATGTTAATGTGCGTGTTTATACCATAAGCTAGTTAAAACAATGATTAAAAATCCACCAAAAATCAAAATTATATTAGCAAATGGATAAGATTTTCTTTTAATCAAATCATCATAAATCATATCAATAAATGTTATATAAATAAATACTCCTGCACTTAAACATTGTA